CAGGCTCCAAGGCTGCGGGGAGACCACGGGCAGCCGGCCCAGGACCCTGCCCCGGCTAGAGGAGGCGCCTCAGGGCCTCCTCGCTTGTTCCTGCTGCTGGAGCACCCAGCTCCAGCAGCACTTTCTGAACCAGAATGTGCTGCAGTTTCTTGCAGTGCTCAGTGGCCGTGTGTAAGTGAAGTTACAACACTTTGGACTCACATCTCTCAAAAGCTGGCAGGCAGAGGGCAGAACCCAAGGCTCACTAGGCTTCACACCAACTACAGGTACTGCCAAAATTATACGCACGTTTCCTGAAACTGCATAAGCTGCAACACATCTATTGTTTACAAACAATAAAAGCATTTAGGCCTACAGAGTTCAGGCAAGCAGTCCAAGAGACTGCAAAGATCTCCCCCTCCCAGGTATTTGAGGTAGTTACCTCAGCCAGCACACACCCAAAGCAGTCAACCTGTCCATGAACAAGCACTGCATTTTCACTTGCACTAAGCTTTATTCTTGAGACCAGTTTGAGAAAGCAACAGTTTCAACCATTTTAGTGACAGCAGTTTTGCAATCTGTGAACAACTTCAGTTTATTAACTTCAAAACCCATGACTTCTTAGTATAGTAATAGCTTCATGGTCTGCTTAAGTACACCAATGAATACTGTAACTATAGAAGCATCTTCTACAGTACAGACTTCATACTGCCATATTTCTCCATAATTGACTTTTCTTAATTCTTAAAGAACTAATCCATCAATCATAACCATTTCAATTAACAATATTTCATGCAACATTTTATTGTAAAAATAATTTAAGATGAAGTTCAGACCTTTTCAATTTAACCACATTTTACAAGTATGTTCCATTCTGAATTAAGTTGTTCTTTAAGAAATCAAAAAAGAAAATCTGGTCTAACTGTAGTTTCAGAAATCCATTATTACTGGGACCATTAAGTGAAACCAACAATTGTAACAAAAAGCTGGAGTTAAGCTATTGTCTGGTACCATTACTTATACGCATGCAGAAGAGTACAGTCAGTGCTGAAATAACACTTCAGATAACTAAGCCTACACTAACCTGAAAATACTCTAAAAAATGCAAATTGAACAAGTCTGCAAGTATGAGATAAACATTTAACCATTTAATGGCTGGCCATTTTTATAAATGTCTGATCTCCTCGGCCCTTTAGTTTCATTGACGCCCTCTCCGTAGGTCTCCTCCATAGGGAGGGTTCATTTTGCTCCTGCCTGCAGAGACTTCCTTTCATTAGCTGCTTTTTGTTTCTGCTGCATGATTTCGGAGTCTCTGTAAAGAAGCAAAGTTAGACTTTAGATATTGGCTCACCATTTTTCACACTGAACATCTCTTGGCTTGCTTTCCAAGAGCCATTGAGTGATGCCAGTTTCAAGGAAAAACAGCAGTGTATCAGCATAGAACAGAGTTCACTGCTAAGTAAGTCTACATTGTAGGTAAATTGTTTCATTAACAAATCTGTGTTTAAGTTTCAAAAGTACAGGATATAACAGATGGAAGAGCTTCTAAGTACTGAATCCCCTTTATTAGGCAAAACCTGCTCAAAACAAATTCCCTCCACTCCAGGGCTTGCAAAAAAAAAAATGAAGCTGCTTCATATCAGATACAAGCCTGCATATAGTATTTATACTTTAGCACATTAATGGACCATGAGCCAAAGTATTTAAATCTCATTCTGAGACTAGATTTCTCTGAACCATTCTTTGTTCCCACTTTGCTTATTTTAAGGACGTCAGCCAATTTGAGTAGCTACTGAGCAAGCCCTTACCAGTTTTATTTGAAAGTCATTTGATTTCAATCAAACCAAACTCGCAAACTCTGAAACAAAGGTACAGACTTTTAGATGTTACAGCCGACAACTCGTTACCGGTTCTGCTGATGGAAACCTGCTACTTTCATTTGCCCACAGCTGAATTCTGCTCATGTTTTAAGAGTGCCAGATTAGTTTGAAATTACTTCTTGCATTCATTCTGGAAAGCAGCTCACAAAACATACAAGAAGTCTGGGCAAGTAGTATAGCCAGGATTTGAATTAAGTCTTGCCTGCTTTGCTCCAGAACTCTGAGGCTCTAAGGATCTCTAACTCTTTAAGGCTGATCACTAGGATCCGACTACTTTGCCAGCACAGCTTGTCTTAAAAAAAAAAAAAAAGCTCCTTCCCACTGTACTAGATCTTACCTTTGTTTCCGCTGAGAGGCAGACAAGCTATCCTCTTTCCTTTTCCCTTTGTGGATCTCCTGGGTCTTCTTCAGGTTCTTTTGGCGAGCAAGCTCACGCTGATTTCCACCTGTGAGATATATAACTTTATGCAAGACCTGACAGTTATATAGGCATGTTCCTATTCCTCTTACAGGAAGGACTACAGAATACTATGCCACAGTTTGCAATACTGGACCTATGCACTGAAGTTGTCTTCCAAGTTTAATGTGGCTACTGCAACAGCCATTTTCTACATATGGATACAGCTACTCAATGCCAACATAAGGTTAATGCAGCACTTAGACACAGCCTTAGCCAGCACTTAAGTGTGACTTCACAAAACTTAAATATACATCCCACTGCTTGCAGTACGGAAGACAACTCTCCAAGAAACAGACAGGCCTTCCACAGGACTGATCAGCCACAAGACTGATTACACTACAGGCTTTGTTTTTGATAAGACAGCATTCCTGAAGGCAAAATATCAAAAACAGCACACAACTGCTGCCCAGAGCTGCTGCCCCAAATACTCAGTCCTCCTGGCAGCAGCCATAGCTACCTCAGCTATAAGACTCTTTTCTGCACACTGTCAACTCTTTAATTATATCCACTTTCTTAGAGCAGTTCAAGTATGCTTTCCTGCTCATCTGCCAGGGGTTTCTTTGCTTAGTATTTCTTCTTGCCCTGCTTCTTCTGGGCTCAGAGTATTCCAGCCTATTTTAGGAGTAATCACTTGTGTTCATCATACAGAACCACAAGTTATTTTTCCATGCTTGATGTTCCTGTAATTTGTTGTGCCCATTTTAATCTCTCCAGTTTTAAGATCACCTATGCTCTTTTTATATTTGGAGAGATAATATTCAGGTGCCTGTCATTTCAGCTGCTGCAGAAGCAGTTTACAACCAGGTCCAGAGGAAAAATAGTAACTTTTGGCATAAACCATGGCTTCATAGTTGTTCTGTTTAAGTGCATCTGCTGTGTCAAGAAGCAGATAAGAGGCATCCTATGGAAGCAGCAGTACTGCATATTCTGAACACCACTGCTTTTCTGGTGGGGGAGTATTTTGACTGCTGCTTCCTGCAGGCTGATATAGCCTTGGAAGGCAGTGGGAGGACATCATGTACTATCTTTTGTAAGGGTGAAGAGAATTCCTAAGCTGCCTCCTCCTCACTAGCATCCAAGGTTATCTTGTCCCCAGAGTCCTGGAGTATAGAGAAGGATCACTATTTGTTTAGGAACTGAAGTGAAACAGCTCTCCAGCAATATTACAGTTTGATTGGGGCTTGATGACTCATGAGCAGATGATACATTCCAGGCTATAAATGGTTCCAGAGTTCTATAGTGCTCAGGAGTGCACAAATATTGTACACACAGGTCAGCAGGTTTCTGTGGTACCTGAAGACATTATTTCTTGGCCCATAAAGAAGAAATGCCCAAACTCAAAACACTGTTATAGTCCCAGTTCACCCAGCAGCTATCCTGAACCCTTAACCTAAGGCATTCCCCTCTTCTCTCAGGCAGTGTTGTGCACGGTGTCTGCAGAAGTATTCTGTAAAAAGTGATAAGCAGAAGAATCAGGATGAATGATCTTGGTTGCTGGTCTTGGGTGATGCTTCTGCACAGCAAAAGACAGCAGGTAGAAGCACTAGACTAGCATCAGAGAGCAAAATTACTCTTTGAAAGGAAGCTTAAACTTCCAGGCAAATGTTGCCAAAGATTATTTGGCCCCAGGACTTTATCCAAGATGCTGGATAGGTTCATTTTTTCTGAGCTTTCTACAGTCTGTAGCATCAGCCTGGGCCTTCCATGGAACACAGTCCAATGCTAACTCTACTCACCTTTCTCAAATGTGAAACTCAAGAATGAGAGGCACATGTAGAATCTGTCTGCTTATAACTGTGCGGAATATGCCCCTACCTTGCCAGACTCTGTAGAGTTTCTGTTCTACCTGTTCATGCTCTTCAGGCTGTTCTTAAGATACACTAAAAATCTCCAAACAGCACAGAAACTGGACCAAAGCACAACCATCTTTATTGGAAGGAAATTAGAAGAATAACAACAAGGTTTACATCTAAGATCATGATCTCCAAGTCACCTTCCAGCTAGCAAAGGAACTTAATCACATACCAGAACTTAACAATAGAATAAAAAAGAAATAACCTGCCACCATTTATTTGAAAATACATGAACTAGGCCAACTCTAATCATACTGAAATTCTGAGTTCTGGAAACATACCTTAAAGATGAGACCACACTGTATGTCACACACAGCTTTCTCCACCCACAGTATTCCTGATACCATATTGAACTAGGCTGTCCAAAAAATGAAGTATGGTATTGTCAGACCAGATGTAACCTGACATGGAACACTGTACCTTCCTGCAACCTTATAGATATTTTATCACAGAAAGTGAGAATACATCAAAACCTGTCTGCTGCTTCCTCCATAAACCCAAAGTCTATCTCTGCACATTTAATTCTTCTGAACATGCAATTCTTCTGCACTTTCATCGGTGGAAGAGATTTGAAGGTACCTTTTTTTTTTTTTTTTTTCAATTAGGGCTGGTATCAAGGCACTTCCTCAATGCCAAGCACAGCATTGAGAAGACAAGCGGCAGCCCAGCTGATGCTCGGTAATCCCAGAGTAGCCTAGGCTTGGTTCAGAGACCTCCGCCATTTTGGAGCAGATACACTAACACTAGCTTTAACTAACATGATGATATGCAAGCCTTGGTTCGCTTTTAGCGACACCCTCGATAATCATAAATGAAGCAGTAAGCTATTAAGTAATTAGCAACCCTTTAAACACCCTTTATTTGCAGCCAAGATCGAAATAGAGCATTAGCACTTTTCTAGCCGACTACCATCTACCCTCTCCCTCCATACAGCTATGCCAAGGGCCACTGAGCATACTTTTCCTTTAATCTTAAAACGGTGGCAGGACCTCGGGAGCTTCAGCCGTGTCGCGTCCAGGCTGCGCCCGTCCGCCGGCCTGAGCTGTCCGACGCCATTACAGCGGAGCGGCC